TAGGTGACCCTGCTTCGGCAGGGGGTTGGACTAGATGACCCACAGAGGTCCCTTCCAACCCCTACTATTCTGTGATTCTGTGATTCTGTGACCTAGAGGCTGAGTCAAGAAAGGATGCGTAACACTCAGACAATTTTCCATTCAGCAGTCTGCATGCACATTTTTGCCATTGGGTTGAAGTCTGGTTACATTTACACGGCGGCCAGCGATACTCCAGCTGGAGCTGTCACCTGGTGGGCACGATTTGGTCTAAGAGATTACGTTCATTTTTTTTGTTTGTTTTAATTTGCTAGGATAGAAGCGTTCACCTAAAAATAATTTCATACAGAATCACAGAATAGTAGGGGTTGGAAGGGACCTCTGTTGGTCATCTAGTCCAACCCCTCTGCCGAAGCAGGGTCACCTACAGCGGGCTGCACAGATACAGACATTGTTTCTCCATACACAAGTGCTCTGTCCTCCAAACAACTCTGAAACACTGTCGCCAGTTTACTAATTGAGTAAATATATGGAAATTGTCAAATGAAAGCAGTGGGAAAAAAAATCTCTGAAGCAAAACTAGCAGAAGGGAAGTTATAAGCCTTTTCTGGATAAAACCTTCCTCCCTCAGACTTGTTTTCAGTATAGAAGTCTGCAATCTGCCTGTCATGTGTTATTAGTCATTTTAGATTATAATCTCTTAAAGGCAGATGCTCTATTTTTATTTGTGTCGATGCACTGCCAAGGATGAGGAGACCTTCGTTTTGACCGGGGCAGAAGTATCACTGTGATACACACCGCAGGCGTAAGCAGTTGCCCTTCTGTAAAACCACGTTGTGCCTTAAAGTTTCGTGCCGAGACAATTCTTGTCAGTCTGCCCAAGCCCAAAAGCAGCGGTTTTGAAGGCCCTTTCCCTCTCAACACGCACGCCGTGTGGGAATCGGAAAGCGCGTAGCGTTCCGTCTGAGAGCTTCAGAGCTTCATCTTTCTGCTGCTTCGGTTTCCTGAAATCCTGACACAGTTTCACTGCCTGGTCTGTACAAAATTCAGCAGTAGTAAAGAGAACACAGATTATTTTTGTTGTTGTTGTTGTTGTTGGAAGGTGGCTGAGGTACCACTGAAAGTCAAGTCATATTTGGCGCTGCAGAAGTGCTGCTTTTCTTCCTAAATCGATCGCAAAGAGGAAGAGAAAATATTAAGGAACCGTTAGGCAAACGGGAGAGGTTGGATTTAAGCGACGTGCTAGAAAGTGCCATCTTAGATCTGCAGCACAATTCTTTGTAGGGGATTTTAATTGTGCCTGTGCATGCTGCAGTGCCATCTGGTGAAACCTGAGCACGGATACAGCGTTCCTCCTTCGCCCTTTTTCAGGCAGGGCTGCCGGCAGGTACTGACTGAGCTGTGGGCACTACGAGAGCACGGCTCCGTTAATCTGTAGGTCAAGGGGCTTGAGGGTCGAGGTTTTCTTCTGTCCACAGAATGGCCGTGCCCCGCTGGTGACACCTGAGGTGTCCAGCGGAGGGCTACGAGGATGGTGAGGGGGCTGGAGCATCTCTCCTGCAAGGAGAGGCTGAGGGAGCTGGGCTTGTTCAGCCTGGAGAAGAGAAGGCTGAGAGGGGACCTAATAAATGCTTACAAATATCTGCAGGGTGGGGGTCAGGAGGACAGGGCCAGACTCTTTCCAGTGGTGCCCAGCGACAGGACAAGGGGTAATGGGCACAAACTGAAGCAGAGGAAGCTCCAGCTGAACACGAGGAAGAACTTCTTCCCTCTGAGGGTGACAGAGCCCTGGCCCAGGCTGCCCAGGGAGGCTGTGGGGTCTCCTTCTCTGGAGATATTACAGACCAGACCCGCCTGGACAAGGTGCTGTGCAGCCTGCTGTAGGTGACCCTGCTTCGGCAGGGGGGTTGGACTGGGTGACCCACAGAGGTCCCTTCCAACCCTGACCATGCTGTGATTCTGTGAGGACCGAGATGGGGCTTAGCCTTAGCTTCCACACTGAAGCACCCCGGCCACGCTGGGGCTGCACGTGGAGCTGCGATGGCAGCGGTCATTCTGCTGGGCCTTGTGAAGTGCCCAGATGGAATAAATATCCGTGCGAAATAGCTTTCTGTGAAGCCTCTCAAAGCAACCGAAGCCACCAGGCTTTGCGCAGAGTTACGCTAAGACAGAACGGTACTAAAGAGGGTGGATGAAAAATGGGAAGAAAAAGGCCGTGGGTAATTCCTTGAAGCTTCGGTTTTCGTTTCCTAACACTCAAAATGACACCAGAAATTGCAGACTCTGTCCCTGCTGTGAAACAACCCGAGAGGCCCAAAGTAAACCTCTGGATGGGTGCCACTTACAGGGGTCACCACCAGAGATGGAGGTCAGCCTTCAAGCGCTCTTTCAAGCCCCCCAAACCCGGAGGCAGTCAGAACGTGAAGCATGGGTTCCTGAACCCCTCCAGGCACGTGCAGGGCTGCAGCGTCAAGCGTGAGCGCGCGAAGCCTTGGGTGGCTCACCATTAGGAGAGGTTTTGCAGAGCTCTTCGCTTCCAGATCCCAAACCAGCCCGGTTCGGCAGTGACAAACAGTTCTTACCTCCTAGAGGCCATTGGGTGGCTCACACTAAATTAATCACCCGTGTTGTTCCAGTTCTTAGTGAATAATTACCACAAACATTAATCTGTCATTGTAATTAATATCATCAGGTAGCCTGAAGAGCTCAAAAGGCTGAAAAGTTGCAGAGGATGGTGCCTTCACTTATCGTCTGAAGGTGTCCCTTACACTTTCCAGGTTGGAAGCACGTCTCAGTGCAGCCCAGGAAGCTCTTATGTCCTTTTTCTGTGTTTTTGGGCTTCAGATATCCTTTGGTTTCAGTACGGTGCCTTCAGAAAGCAGTGAAGATTTTCCAGCTGCATTCAGCTCAATATTATAAACGCGTTAATCTGCTTTTTTTTTTTTTCCTCCCCGTTATGTCACATATGTTTCTAAATACTCGCTCTCCTGCTGAGCACTGATAAACATTCCCGCAGTACCTTTTGCGAGTGCCAGGCAATCTGTATAAAGGCAAACAGTTATTTTGGGTTTCCCGTTACGCCTAACAGTTGTGTTGATGGCAAACTGCCGGACCGAATCGAACACAGGGGAAGCAACCAGCAGGGGAAAAACTCCCACAGAGAAAACTCTTATTGACACCTCATGTTAACTGGCAACACTCGGAAAGAAAGCAAGCAGCTAGCAGTGCAGTGGTTTAGCTAAAATAAATAGGATTGCTTGAGGGGGGCTATTAAAGAGACGCTGAAGTGCTACCCTGAGCAGGCACGGGTCCTAACTCCGCGCAGCCGGAGCCCGGTGTCCGCTGCTGATGTGCAAACATCACCCATGGCCGCTAGAAAAGCAGCATTTCTCTGGGCTGGGCCACGCTTGGCTGCAAGGAAAACTGCAAAGGAACATCTCAGGTGTTGAGGAACATAATGAGGGAAGGCACAAAGCGTCTCAAAGGTGTCAGATCCGTCCGCAAGTAATGATGAAGCGAAGCACTGCAGGAAAAACATTTCTTAGGACAAGAGTGCATAGGCTAGAAAGGGGTTTTTTTTCACTTGGTTGTTTCATCTTATTTAATTTTCAAACTTTGACAAGTTTGTAGGTTTCTTGTTGGATGTTTGCTCTCAGTTATTCTTTTTCCTGCTCTGTGGGAAGTTTAGTAATTCTCAGAGCCTGGTCCTGCCGTTACTTGAGTCAGTGACCCAGTCCTTGAATGGCAGAAAGATTGAATTTATACTGAAAATTCTCTAACCACAGGCAGGCTGACCAAAATCATAACTCCAGTAGGTTGCTATAACGTAGACTCTTCACTGGAGTCAGCGTATATCCAGGTAAATCCGTGAGGGCACCAGGTGAGTACGGGAGTGTGCCTACATGGAGGATCAGGGCAATAGAAGATAATCAAGGACAGTATAAGATAATTGTATCAGCTCCGCGTCGCTTGGACCCTGTGTGTGTGCGGGGTCTGACATGAAGTCTTTCAGTACTCGACAAGCCCGCTACCTAGCCCACACAGTAGGTTTGATTTTTTACCAGAAGGGAAAAGCACCCCAATATGATGCCTGAGACTCTAAGAAAAAAAAAACCCCAAAACTCCTAATCAGAAATAATGCCAGTTTCCTCACAAACTGCGAGCAGCAGCAGTTCGGACGCAGCTTGCGCGTCGGGCAGCATGGGGAGCGCGAAGGGGTCGCGCTCTCTCTTCCTTCTCAGAGCGCGGCTGAGAGAGAAAATGTTTCCAGGCCTCCTAGACGGGCTCCCTGCGGATGACAGGCTTCGTCCTGAGGAGGCAAAAATGGAAATGATGAAAAGGCCCGGTGGAAGAGCATCGATTCACAGAATCACAGAATAATAGGGGTTGGAAGGGACCTCTGTGGGTCACCCAGTCCAACCCTCCTGCCGAAGCAGGGTCTGCACAGGACCTTGTCCAGGCGGTGCGGGAATATCTCCAGAGAAGGAGACTCCACACCCTCCCTGGGCAGCCTGTGCCAGGGCTCCGTCACCCTCAGAGGGAAGAAGTTCTTCCTCATGTTCAGACGGATTCGAAGAGCATCCTCGTGTCACGGGGGGAAAAAAAAGAGTACAGAGGACTGAGCTCGCTGCGCTCCCCATCTCGTGAGGGGAAAATATTAATCACGTGTCTCTTCTTTTCTCCCCCAGGAAATGTGACTGGAAACAGCAACTCCACCTTTATCTCAAGCGGACAAGTGATGAATTTCAAGGGCGACATCATCGTTGTCTACCTGAGCCAGAACTCCCAGGAAGGGGCAACGGCCCCGGGGCCGAGCGAGGAGAACGTGGGCAGCCCCGTGCAGGAGGAGAACCCCAGCCGCTGCGAGACGTTCGCCGGCAACACGCAGCACTACAAGGAGCAGTGGGCCGAGCTGCAGGGCG